GCAAAAATCTCTCTTGAAAAAAGAAAAAGTCACGTAAGAAAGATAAATTGGGGGAAAAAACTACAATGGCTGAAAATAAATGTCTGAAATGCCTTATAGACCATGTCATTTTGACCTTCCTTAATGTAATTTTTTAGAATGATTAATTTATTATTATTACTATTATTATTTAATTCACCAGAGAGACAGAGAGAGAGGGAAAGTGAGAAACCAAGCCACCAGGTCCAGGATTCAAGCTGTGGTCAGCCGTGTGGGAGTCCAGTGCCCCAACCACCATGCCACCTCCTGGCCCGTCATTTTCACTTTGACCTCCTATTTCTGCTTTATTGCTTCTTACACCTGCTCTGCTGGGCTGCCGAGGTAGAGGCAGTCGGGTACTCTGAACCCCTATCATCTGGCATCCAAAGCAACATTAGTGAGAGAACACAAAGAAAAGCAACTGCTCCAGGTCTTCCCCCACCGCTCAAGGTGGGGTTCTCCCTTGCAGACACCCTCCGTGTGCGACTTGCTAGCTTTCTAAGGCAATCTCCCTCTCTTCCTGACCCAGCTCTTGCCAGTCTCCAGAGCTCATCTCACTGGCTCATTTTCCTCCTAGCCTTTCAGCGCTGTTGTCAACAGAGCCTGTCTCTTTTGCCAATGCAACTGGAGCCAAGGCGAGTCTCTGGTTCAGATGGGAGACCCACTCCGAATCACTGTTCAGTAACCAGAGGCCACACCAGTCACTTCCCAGAAGAGCCCGAGAAAGAAAGGAGGTCCTGTTTACAGCAAGCATTCTAACTGCTTCTGCCCTCAAAAGACGGAGTGCTACAGGGCAGGTTAGCAGCCTGAGCGCCAGGAAGAGGGCCTCTGGACACACAAAGCCTTCTTTCTTAGGGAGCTCTTCTCAACAGGCCATTCAGCCTACCCTTGCTAAGCGGTACTAAATAACAGGCCTCTGGGCTTAGATGATACTACCAGAGGGAAAAGAGGAAGGAGAAACACATACGAAGTCCAGGATTGGCAGAGAAACAGGCAGGCTGACTGTGGCAGAGAGGGCAGGGGCATTAAAGATGGCAGTAAGCCCCACCCTCCAACAAACAGATACCAATGTCACGTGGAGAAAGGGACTAAGCAAAACCAAGTACTTAAAAGGGGGAAAAAATGAGTCTGCACTGCTCTGATCAGTTACAGGATTTCACAGAAAAAGGAGTGAACTGCTCCATTTCTAAAAGGCAGCAGGGGAATGGAGTAAGCTCCCCTCCTCTGGGGAACAGGGGTCCTCCCTCCCATACTGAGGCCCTCTCACTTTTCTGGAGCCCTTGTCCTGGGTTTTCAGAGCAGTAATGGAAGGGTGCTGCTCCAGGCTCTGGCTAGTTACCCAACAGCCTCTGAGCCCGTGCAGTTTAACCTGGCAAGTGCACACAACCATGGCAAAAATCTTAAAAAAATGTCTGGTCTACTTGGTAAGTCTCCCCCACAACCACTCGTGATATAAACCGTGGAGGGAAATAAAGAATGTGTTTTCTTTACCACCGCAGTTGGCTCTAGCTTATTCGTAATGGTGATTTTCTTTTCCAACCATTTTTTAAAAAGAATTATTTTCAGGGACCAGCAGGTGACGTGGTGGTGGTGGTTGTTAAGATGCTGGACACTCACATGGCTGACTACGGTTTGAGTCCTGGACCTGGTGGCTTGCTTTCTTGCTTTCCATCTGTCTCTCTCTTTCTCTCTCTGTATCTCTCTCTGGTCAAATTAAAATAAGTTAATGAATAAATAAAACTAAAGAATTCTTTTAATAAAAAGAATTCTTTAGTTTTATTTATTCATTTTAATTTGACCAGAGAAGGACAGAGAGAGAGAGAAAGCAAGCAAGCCACCAGGTCTGGGACTCATACCACGGTCATCCAGTGTCCTTAACCATGCCACCTGCCGTAACCATTTTAAAACAGGAGTAGTAGGGACCAGCAGATGATGTAATGGTTACGACGCTAGACGCCCACGAAGTTGACCTTGGCTCGCATACCGGACCTGGTGGTTTAAAATTCATGGTGCTGCATGTGTGCGCGTACCTAAGATCCCCAGAGAATGGAGAAAGGCTTGCACTCTGGGGGGGATTTCTCACTTTGTCTCTCTCTGGTGAACACATGTGCCGTATAGCAAAAGTCTCTCAAAAATAACTAAATAAATAAAACAAAAAACTAAAAAACCAGTCGTAGATAGTTAAGGACAGAACATCTGCTTCAAAGATCAAGAAAAGAAGTGTAGCCTTCTGCATTCTGGGTGGTCTGACTAATTCTCCCCCGGTGCCCAGGTCTGTGGTGGACACTACTGGTGGCCACCGCCTGGCCCGTTCTGGCCAAACCTTCACATCTGGGACCTTTCCTTCATCTGGACTTGATCCCATGGGGAAATGAAAATCACTTACTGACTCCGAGGTGGCAGCTATTGCTTAGCTGTTCTTTAGGATTATATAGAGACCCCAGACCGAGGGGAGTGGGATGAAGCAGCTTATTTGAAACACTATTTTACAGGCTCGGAGAGATCGATGTGTCCTCAGCCCACTCGATGTGCTGTTCGATTCTGTGCTTCCCCACCCTGCCAGGATTATCCCCTTCCCCACATACTCCCCAGCTGTGGATCCTGCTCAAAGCACTTCCCTTCTCGCTCTGCCTTAATCCAGGGCTCAGGCAAATAGGATGTGACCAAACCTCTCTTGGGCAGTAATGCTGCAAACCGATGTGCACTTTAAGCCAAAAGGGTTGAGACTAAGTGGCTGCTTTGGATTAACCAGCCAGTGCTGTCCCTTCTACGTGTAGGCATCTACGTCTCTGTTCCCAGTCAGCACTCCACAGCTGGTACACACACACGCTGCCCCCTATGAACCCAGCTGTTTGCTGCTTTGCTGAGATGGTGGCTTTGGACTGAAGAGTTAGGTTATTTATTCTTGACCTGATTCCAGTTTTCAGGCTCTGTTCTGAGGATTAGTCAGAACAGATTAATCTCTTTATTTATTTATGGGGGAGGGCAAGGGAGAGGTATCCTTGACAGGGTCTTGCCACACCATGACTCCCCCCCACCCCTGAGCCTTCCAGCCAGCCAGAGAGCAGGCACACCTGGGCATGCTCAGGTCAATGCAAGATCTGAACCCAGAGCCTCTCACATGACTCAGCACTGTGCAGCAGTGCCCTGCCTGTGCCGTGGCGGCCAGGTCAAATTCTTACTTTACATGACAGACTCCTTGAAAGAAAACCTAGGCTTGGGACCAGCAGTTGGTGTAATGGCTAGGGTGCTGGGCTCCCATGTAGTCAACTGCGGTTTGAGTCCCAGACCCGATGGCTTAAAGTCATGCGAGGCACGTGTGCCTGCGTGCCCAAGATCCCGAGAGGAGAATGGAGAAGGGATTGCGGTGTGGCCATCCCCCCTTGGGGGTGATTTCTTACTTTCTGTCTCTCTCTGTCTTTCTGGCAAGCACATGTGCCCTATAGCAACAACCTCTCCATAAATAAATAAATATTAACAAAACAAAACAAACAAAAAAAACACCTAGGCATCAAAAAAAGAAAGTAGTAAAGTTAGGGTCCTGGGTTTGGCTTTCCTTTGAATTTGTGTGTGTGAACAGGGTCTCACTGTGCTGTGACCCTCCTGCCCTAGCCTCCTGAGGAGCTGAGACTGCGAGCGAGCACCACTGAGCCTGGGCCTCCCACGTGACCTTAGCCTGATGAGCAGCAGCATCCAGGGCACGCCACCAGCTGAGCCAAAGTGCCGTTCAGGAACGTGCACTGGACTATTACTAGTATGGAATGATGTCCTTTGTCACACTCGGGCGGCCCAGGACACACGAGCACATGAAGTTCCATATCCTTCTCCCAACAGCTCCGCAGAGCTCAGGAATGTGGGGTGGGGCTGCATTACACACAGCTGCACACTCAGCTACATCCGCCTTCCAAGACTGAGCTGGAAAGAACAGTCACCACCTTCAGGAGATACTTGAGATCAAAGAACCAAGACTTGCAGATGAATGTCCCAAATGTAGCCCTCTGTAGCCCCAGCCAACCCCATGTTTCCTGGGGTCACACCAGGATACAGCTAATACAATTAAGAACACAATCTAGTTAGGGTTAGGGTTAGTTAGGATTAGGGTTAGGGTTAGCAGTTAGGGGTTAGGGTTTGGGTAAGGGTTAGGGTTAGGGATAGAGAAAATAAAAATACCACAGTCTAAGGCCAGCCCTATGCACAGTGGCTAAGTGCTGTGCTGGGGGAGCTGAATCTCCACCTGGCTGACTACAGTTTGAATCCTGGCCTGGCAGCTTGAAAAATACACCAAGCACACATGTGCACACATGCCCAGGGTCCTGAGAGAATGGAGAAACGGGAAAAATGAATACGGCATGTCTAGGCCCCATTGGGGGATTCTCTCTCTCTCTCTGGCATATGTGCATAAAATAAAACACACAATCCAAAGGCTGATAGACTATTTTATTTATACTCACCTATAGAATATGATCGCTGATTCACTAATGAGTCAGCATGTGAGAAAATATCTTTTAAAAAATTATTACTATTTTTTAAATAGAATTATTTTACTTAACTTTATTTATTTTAATTTGACCAGAGAGGGACAGAGTGAGAGAGAGAGAAAGCAAGAAAGCAAGCTGCCGGGTTCGGGCTGGCCATGTGGGAGTCCGGTGCCCCTAATCACTCACCACCTGCTGGCCTATTACTTTTTAAAATTTGCTATAGGGCACGTGTGCACACCAGAGGGAGAAAGCAGACCACCAGGTCCAGGACTCGAATGGCAGTCAGCCATGTGGGAGTCCAGTGCCCTAAACATGCCGGCTGCTGGCCCAAAAAGACCCTCGTAAATGATACCATACCCCATAAATGTGACTTACTCTTCCCCATTCCTCATCTGGCCTTCCTGAAGTCATACCACCCACAACTAGGCTCATCTTCCACTTCTGTCATTTGAAGCTGGCCTACTCCCAGCCTGAATTATGCAGGATGTACTTAATGCACCAAAATTTGTCCAACAGCCCGACAGTGCTTTATTCCCAACCCTGACCTCTGTCCTGTGATCAGAAAGAGAACGCCACCACTCACTCCCACAGTCCAGGCAATGGGGAATGTAACTGGTGTTCTCTGAGTCAGACTGCCCTTTATCTGGACTCAGACGCTAGACAAACAATTTACAAAAGAAGACGAGGGTCCGTGGCTGTGCACACCAGCTGCCCTCCTGGGCCCAGCCACTGCCCACAGTTGTTGACGATGACACAGCTGAAAAGACCCAGTGGGACAGGAGTGAAAAAAGGGAGTTCTTTTTACAGAGACGGAGACTTGAAGGAGACAGATGACTTCATGGCTTCCTGCAGCCTCACCATCCATGCTTCACCCCAGGTGTCATTTTGCCATTAGGCTAGCTGAGGCTTATGGGCCTCTCCTTGGGCCCCTTCATAGTCTTCCCATGGTTTCAGCTGGGGACCAGGGATCATGACCGTCTGAAAGAGTAGGAAGCGGAGTTAACTTACCAGTCCAGTCCAGCACAGCCCATGGCTTACCCAGAAGAGCTTCATCCCTCACCTCCACCCCACACCAAAATTTTCATTCCCTGGTTTGTATCATCTCCTCTCACCACTAGGTGGAGCCCAAGAGGAGCAGTTTTAGGATGCAGGACTACAGCCTTAGCTCAAACCATGCAGGCCGCCTTACCTTAAGGATGGGCTGCTTAGGGGGTGCCCACTGGGGAACGACCTTGCCATGCATTCTCCAGCTCCCATAGGGGTTCGACAGGTGCTTTTCAAACACGACATACTCCAAGACATCCTTGGGCACATCTTCCTGTCCGTACATCAACCGGCCAAACCGGTCATAGATGGCCAGAGTCTACAAGGAAGAAAGCAAATCTGGCCTGCTAATTTTCTTTTTTTTTTTGGAGGGGGAGGTATCACACAGACATTTTCAAAACAACTACAAAAAAAATTGTAATAGGTAAGAAAAAAAATGATCTCAGCATTCTGAATCTAGGACTCACTTATCTGCTGCTGACACTTTACTCTTACAGGTTCTTTAACGGGAGCGAGGGGAGGGGACGTCGAAGCCAGGAAGGGTGGGAGAGGATACCCTCACACCGTGTCTTAGTAAAGCTAACATTGTGCAGTGGGAAGGGGGAAGTGAGAGAGCAAGGAAAACCACAGAGAACCTTCCCTTCAAACCCACAGTCCTGCGCTACTGTACCCAGTACTCCAGGGCAGGGGCCCGACCTGAATGAAGGACAGCAGGGAGGAGAGGAGACGAGTGCCTCTACCTGGCGGGTGTGCATGCGGACGGTGACCTGGCCGTACATGTTGCCCTGGTTCACCAGACTCGAACAGCGAACCTGGACCACCTGCGGTGGCTCTAAAGATTCCACGAAGCTCCAGCGGACCGTCTTATATTTGAGGTCCCAGACCATGTCCTACGGGTAGAGGAGAACGAGTTCAATTGAGTTTCCCCCTTAGCAAGGCTGGTGCTGCCATACTCACTGTCACTGTCTGTAATGTGACAGCTGACAGGAAACATTTCCCACCAAATGTTCCCTGTGTCTATTTCTCTCTTACCTTCTTCCCAAGTTTTGATTAAACTTCTGCTGAAGCTCACCTCACAATTCTCTGCATCTCACTCACAACTCAACACCCACCTACTCTTTGAGGACCCTTCTCTCTCTCTCTCTTTTTTTTTTTTTGGAGAGATTTTCACTGTAGGGCGCGTGCGCTCGCCAGACAGACAGAGAGAGACATAGAGATAGAAAGCGAGAAATCACCCCCCAGGGGGGATGGTCACGCCGCAATCCCTTCTCCTCCATTCTCCTCTCAGGATCTTGGGCACGCACGCACATGCGCCCGGCGTGAGTTTTAAGCCACCGGGTCCGGGACACGAACCGCGGTCAACTACGTGGGAGTGCAGCGACATAGCCATTACGCTAACTGCTGGTTCCCGAGGACCCTTCTCTCAATCAATGAACACGACAGTCTAAACTGCCACATACCCAGTCTTCCATTATCAGGACCAGCAGATGATGTAATGGTTATGTTGCTGGACTCTCACAGGGCCAACCCTGGTTCGAATCCCCGACCCAGCAGCCTGAAACTCATGCTGGGCGTGTGTGTGTGCATGCCAAAATCCTAAGAGGAGAATGAAGAAGGGACTGCAGCCTGGCCATCTACCTGGGAGGTGATTTCTCGCTTTCTGTCTCTATCTCTCTGGTAAGCACATACAACCTATAGCAAAAATCTCTTAAAAAAAAAAAAAAAA